TCTAGACTGAAATATTGGTTAGTTATTAATGCCAAATTAAATCAAATGCCCCCAAAACTGCTGGGAGAACTGCTCATTTTAGAGGTTCAGTAACCCCTGCCTCTTCAGTTAGGGGCTGAGAGCTCTCAGTTCACACCTCAGACTGCTATTCCTGCTCCAGCAAAATCAGGGAGGATTAAAATTCACAATATTCCTTAAGTAAAAGGACAAACTGGATTTTTGTTTTAAATTTCAGGCCTTCTCTACTTCAGAAAGGGGCACCATCTCAGCTGTTTTATTATTATTATTTTTTATTTGCAAACCACCTTAAAAACTCACTTTTTGGGAGACTCTCTCTTCTACAAAACTTTCTAATCCAGTGAAGGCAGAAGTGACATTTTTATGCTACTAGTTTCCATTACAGCTCCTTATACTTTCCTCCCTCTCAGGCCACATCATTTCCTTCTCTCCCCCATGCCTGGCAATAAAATGAAAAGCAAAAAGAGGTTGGGGAGGGGAGAAGGGTAATAAATATCTTCAGAAGGAGTGAGAAAGCAACACAAGGAACGACGGTTTTGGGATTAAGGTCCTGGACTGTGACTCAGGCGATCAGAGTTCAATTCCTGGCTCTTCCAAAAGACTTCTTATGTGACCCTGGGCAAGTTTGGGGGAGATTTCCAGGAAATGCAAAGGGCTTTGGATCTCCTGAAAATCTCCCCTAAGAGGAGATCCCTTTGTTCCTCATTTCCTCCTAGGGAAGAAAGGGGAGTAATGCATACAGACTTTATATCTCTATGAAATATAAGTTCTTAAAGCCAGTTACAAGCATTCATGATCCTCAAACAGCAGGCACTTCTAAACATACAAGGTGTTACTGGTGCTCAGACAGCATAGCGAAGGAGAGCCTAGAAATACCTTAGGCAGGCAGAACTGGTCTCAGAAAGCAGAGGCTTGAAGGAGGTCTCAGACCCATTGCAAAATAATGGGAGAAGTCTCACAGGTGGCAACAGCTGTGATTGGACTGCAGCAGCATGTCTTCTGGGAGAAGGAGAAAAAAATTAGGGCTTCTTGAAACCAGCACGACACTTGCCAAGAAAATATATTTTTCTTAATATTTAAGAAAATGCACGAAGAAGGTTTCATGACCCATGTGAGAGAATGCTAGCATTAGAGAGAGAGATTGATTGAATCATACGAAGCAATGTAGTTATAGTGCTCAAAATATTCCACACATTATTGAACCCGGGGAACTACAGCCTCACCTCAGTCCCTGAAAAAAAAATCATGGAGCAGGTCCTCAAGGAATCCATTTTGGAAGCACTTGGAGGTGATCAGGAACAGTCAACATGGATTCACCAAGGGCAAGTCATGCCTGACCAACCCGATTGTCTTCTATGAGAGATAACTGGCTCTGTGGATATGGGGAAAGCAGTGGATGTGATATATCTTGACTTTAGCAAAGCTTTTGATATGGTCTCCCACAGTATTTTTGCCAGCAAGTTAAAAAAGTATGGATTGGATGAATGGACTATAAAGTGAATAGAAAGCTGGCTAGATCGTCGGGCTCAATGGGTAGTGAGCAACAGCTTGATGTCTAGTTGGCAGCCAGTATCAAGCGCGGAGGGGTAGGTCCTGGGGCTGGTTTTGTTCAACATCTTCGTTAAGGATCTGGATGATGGGATGGATTTCACTCTCAGCAAGTGTCATCCGCGAACCAAGTGTGTGGAGAAGTAGATAAGCTGGAGGGTAGGGATAGGGTCCAGAGTGACCTAGACAATTTGGAGGATTGGGCCAAAAGAAATCTGATGAGGTTAAACAAGGACAAGTGCAGAGTCCTGCACTTAGGATAGAAGGATTCCATGCACCACTACAGGCTGGGGACCAACTGGCTAGGCAGCAGCTCTGCAAGAAAGGACCCGGGGATTACAGTGGATGAGGAGCTGGACAAGAGAGTCAGCAGTGTGCCCTTGTTACCAAGGAGGCTAATGGCATATTGGGCTGCATTAGTAGGAGCATTGCCAGCAGATTGAGGGAAGTGATTGTTCCCCTCTATTCGGCACTGGTGAGGCCACACCTGGAGTATTGCGTCCAGTTTTGGGCCTCCCACTACAGAAAGTGTGGACAAATTGGAGAGAGTCCAGCGGAGGGCAATGAAAATGATCAGGGGCTGGGGCACATGACTTACGAGGAGAGGCTACGGGAACTGGACTTGTTTAGTCTGCAGAAGAGTAGAGTGAGGGGGGATTTGATAGCATCCTTCAACTACCTGAAGGGGGGTTCCAAAGAGGATGGAGCTAGGCTGTTCTCAGTGGTGGCAGATGACAGAACAAGGAGCAATGGTCTCAAGTTGCAGTGGGGGAGGTCTAGGTTGGATATTAAGAAACACTATTTCACTAGGAGGGTGGTGAAGCACTGGAATGAGTTACCTAGGGAGGTGAGGGAATCTCCATCCTTAAGAGGTTTTTAAGGATTGTGATTTAGTTGGGGATTGGTCCTGCTTTGAGCAGGGGGTTTGACTAGATGACCTCCCAAGGACTCTTCCAACCCTAATCTTCTATGATTCTATGACTAAGTAACCCCACTTAGCCCCTGTTGCTGGCAGATCTCTGTACCTGTGAAGCCCCATTGACTTCCCTGGGACTCAGGAAAGACACAGAGGTCCCGGTATGCCATTCTCTTTGCAGTACCAGGGCCTTAACCCTTAAATGAGAGAACTACTTGCAGCCTGGGTATCAAGTTGATTACAAGTCAGATGGCTGTCAGTGAAGAAGCAGCCATGTCAGCTAGTGGTTTCAGCAAAGAGCTGGGAAGCAGGGAGTTCTAAGAGAGGCTATGCCATACACTCACTGTGCCACTGTATTCTGACAAGTTGTTGGACCTCCTTGTTGCGTCCGGGCAAATCACCCTAAAAACCAGAGGCAAGAACCGAGCTGCAGTGACTGAGGTCAACAGGACACAATGAGAAACACATTGTTGGTGGTCTACAGATAAAATCATCATACTACTATACAAACGAATACCAAGGGGGTGAAGCTGAAAAGGCTATTAAAAAAAGGGCAAGGGAATGGAAATTTGATGACTTAGTTAAAAATGCTTCAAAAAGTGGCTGTGGGTGGATAGTGTGTACCAACCAACAACATTCTTTCAGAGAGAAAATTATGGTTAAAGCAATTCTACAAAGAAGAGGGATTTGTGGGGGAAGGAATCAGAGACCTGTGCAATTCGTGATGGGAGCAATTTTACTACAAAGTCCCATCTCCTGGCTCTTCTAGTGCATTTCTAGCTCCGGCTGCTGAGCAGTTGTCCTGTACAGACACAGGGCAATAATTGTGAGCCTTACATTGCTCCCGCTGAAATCAATGGAAGCTTTGTCATTGGCCTCAATGGTAGCAAAATTGAATTCGAAGAGCATGATCCAATGCCCTTACAAGTCATTTGGGATTTTTCCATTGACTTTAATGACCAATGGATTGGACCTTATGAAAAGGACATTTTACACAGAAGCAACTGCTGCTTGGACTTTTTTTTTTGAAAAAGCAGCTCTTGCAGTATGTACCTCATTAGGGAATAAAAAGTGCTGCAACCAGGGGGAGCAATGCTCCAGGTGAGCAGCAGCTAATGAGCTGAGCAGCAGCTAACAAGCAGCAACTAATGAGCTGAGCTGTGTCTTCTCAACAGGAGTGAAAGCCCTGGCCCTTCCTGCAAGGAAAACAATTTTCCCCCTTTAGACCATATATATATATATATATATATAGGCAAAGGAAGTTCAAGGACGTCACATGAAAATGACGATCAGCAGGCCTGATCTGACTCTTAACATTCACTCCAATTGCCACCCCCCTCCCCAGCGGCCCCTATTCCAGCTCAGTCCTTTCCTGCAGATTACTGGAGTTCAAGTGCTTTAACACCCCCCCCCCCCCCCCACGGGATCCATTTCAAGTGCTCTGATACTGCCATGATGGGAGACACAAGAACCTACAGAGAAGCAGATGTAGATTCAGGTTGTCTCTACTCATACAGTTGAGTATCTCTCTCTGGGAATAGTTCCCCCATTACTTGGCAGATAAGAGTAATCAGACGCATGACACTCTGCCCAGTTTTTGGCTACGTCAGAGCAGGAGGTTGCAAACACACTATGGTCTACTCACCCAGGCTTGATGGTGGAGAATTTGGATGAGCTAAGTTAGCATCACAAGAGGAACCACTGTGAAAAATGAGGAAGGCATTTAGTGAGGTGGGTTCCTGCCTTGGGCAACAAGGAGAGAATGACATGGGATAGAGGGACCCCAAGCTGCCCCCAAATCCCCCCACTATATGCACAATTAACACTGGCTGACTATTACTTTAGGGTTCCTCTGAAGCTATTGCTCTTGCTAAGATCTGCCTCTGAAACCCTTTGGAGGTCCATGGACTCCCAGCTGCTTATATTCTTACAGCGCTGGGTCCTCAATTTCTCTCCCCTATCTTGTTGCTGGGGCAGAAAGACTTCCCTCCAGTAGCCCAGCTGGTCAGGAGGAGAAAATGGGAGGTTTTGGTAGGGGAAGAGGGAGAAACAGGGTCAACAGATTTTTCACAGAAAAGGAGACGTGGAAAAGGAGCAGAAAATATGAAGATGCAAGAATAGACCAACCTTTGAGGTTCCTTTGGAAAAAAGTCCTAATATACAGCCAAATAATGAAGTCCTTAGTCTTTAAGGAGGCAAACTCTCACTGAAGCCAATAGTTTTGCCTGAATAGAGAATAAGGTCTTGCCTACCACGGGCGTTATTTTAGAACACCTATTTCTAATTAACTCCGTGCGTGAATGCTCATATTCTAGAATTAGTTTAAACTAGTTTGGAATAAGGCACTCAATCTGGAATAAAGTACAGTGTGAATTGAATGCAGATTAACTATTCCTCATTAACTCCATGTGTGGACACACTTATTGTAGAATTATTTTCATATAAAAGCTTGTCTACAACTTCAGAATTTGGCTCACCAACCGATGTAATATGCAGGGATTTGCTTTCTGTTACAGAAATGGAGTTTGCATGCCACTTTTCAATCTGGGGACTTCTAGCCTTTATGACTATGGCTCTGATTGTTTCGCTGGTCATAAATATTTCATACTGCATAGCAAACAAGCAAAAAGGTAAGAAATGACGTGCGTGCATGCGCATGCAAAAGATTGTGTTTGAGTATTTGAGAGAGACTACAAACAAATTCATCACCACCGGGAATTTTCTGGCAAGCAGACCGAATGTTTTATAATGAACTTTTTCCTAAAAATTTATTCTAATACTAATGCATTTTTAACTTGCAAGGCATGGATACCTGATGTCACATGGTATGTCAACTAAAAACAAAAGCTTTCAAAACATCAGTATGACTCAATTTAAAAAAAAAAATCTAAAAACAATCCCCCAACCTACTCTCCCCAAATGAGCCAGCCAGACATGAGCAAGGGACAGAATTTAATTCAGATAATGTTTTCAACATTTTTCATGTAGACAATTTCCCTCATCTGTAAGTTTTAGCTACCTGAATTTCAGACACAACAGCACTTTAAGTACACATTAATACAAGCTATGAATCTAGGTGGCAATATTTTCTCCCCCCTGAATTTAGGAATGCTTATTTGAATTTCAGATTTCATCCAAATTCTATTTTTTCCCTGGCCTCCTGACTCCCTGATTAACCTGCCCACCCTATCAATCAGGCTGACCTGGAGCATTGGCCTCTCCCCATTGTTCCTGGGGACTGTCAGTCTCAGGGTTCTGATTTCCCAACAACCTTTCCCCTTTCTTTTGGTACTGGGAGCTAGCCAAACGAAAACCACCACTGAGTTTTAGTAAGGGTTGGCCCCTTACACATATATAAATTCTGCTGCCAGTGCTTCTGGGCTGATAAAAATCAAGCAAAGAGTCAGGGGGTAGACTGAAATAGATGGATAGATACCCACCCACCTCAGAGAGATTTGAGCTCCTTGGGGCAGAGTATTAGATACTAGTAAATAATAAGGTGCACAAGTTTACCTGCATGTTTGTCTGAAAAGGTGCCCTGTAATGGTTTATGAATGTAGGTCTCCTATGCAATCAGAATCATATACTTCCTCACACCATCCTCTCAAGTGAATTTGTAAAGGGATGAAGTTGTGAACCTGAATATGGGTTCCAGTAATCACTAACTCAGGGGTCCCTACCTCAGGCTACAACCAGCTGCTAACTGGGAAGGGAAATTGTTTTGGTACCTGCTGAGAAGCCTTCTATTTGAACAGTAATAGCTCCGAGCCAGGCCATCAAGTTAATTGGGGGAACTGGCTGATGGTGTCTTACATGTACACTGATGAATTCTGACCTTTTACTGCAGTGACACTCTGGCTTTCTGTGTCTGAGTCAAGATGAGCTCTCTCTTGTGATTGGGGCTGAGCTACTGTGATGAGTTTTATTCTTGTTAAATACAATATTTGTTAATTGGTAAAGACATGTCTGTTGCAGTGTCGCTCCCACCCAGAGAAGGAAGCAGCAGGGCCAGAGCGAGGCAGAGGTTCTCATTTTTAAAAAGTGTTTTGACACTTCTGATGTCATCTTCCTTACGGGCCATTTAATGACTGCCGTTTCAATTCCTGATGGAGCCAGTGAAGGGATGGCTGCATTGGAGTGAGCCCCCCACCAGCCTCATGTCCCGTCTCTTAAAACGGACAGGAATTAGCCTTTGGTTTTTAAAATATTTTTGCCAGACAGTTTCTTGTATTGTACTGCTCAACAATTACACAATTCATATTTTCCTTTCTGCTTAAACTACTTGTGTTTTAAAATATTTTCCAGGTTACACGTACAGAGACTATCAAGAATATAGTCCAAGGTATGTTGAAGATTTTAACCTTTTAAAATCAGACATAATACTCAAATTAAGTTACAATGGCTGGATTTGAAGGAATGGGCCAGAGGACATATGAAAGGTCTTGTTTGATCTACATGGAAACATTTTTACAGTTAAAAGGGGTACTTAAGGAATGAAGGGAAGAATGCAACTTGTAATGGGACATACTACACTCACTTCATTAAGCAGGTGGAGGGAGTTCATTTAGTAATAGGAGAAGCATGATAGAGTTAATCAGTTTAGGATAGCAAGCTAAATGGGTATTTATTATTGCTTGGCCTCAGAGAGAATGAAAATGGGCCCTCCAAACTCACTGCTAACTGCTCAGATTAATTACTGCTCCATAATCTCTCAGTATTTGTATTTATATTTTACAGAATAGGGTTTTTTTCTTTTAAAAAAACTGGCTCTGGATGATCCAACTCATGTTTTTCAGAAAACAGACATTTACAAAGCTCTTCTCCACCCCAAAACAAACACAAAAAACCTTAATACAAAAATGCTGTACCCCAACAATACCCTACCATTGATTTGTCTGAAGTTAGCATGCAGACAGCCATAACTCCTCAAACAATGAAAAATACCCTTTGAAAAACTATATACCACTGACCAGGCAAAGAATAAGCTGCACAGCTAGGAATGTGTCAAACAAAACATCTTTCAACATGCAGAAGCCTGCATGCACAATTTCCATGTTTTGGGCACACACCATTTTAAAACATTTAGCCTTTAAGTTATACCATTCATTGAGGATAGGATGCTCTTGAGCACCAAGACCAGGAGGATTCTGGATGTTCTATAATGCCAGCTGGGGATTGCACTTGCCAGTGATTTCTTTTTCCTTCTTCAGATCTGCTTTTCTCCTCTACACTATCACCATCTTCAGTTTGTAGAGCTTTGAAGGTCAGAAAATATTTGGGCTAAGTGTGGTTTTTACAAAACTGATTACAAGCATATTAAATTCTTCAACTGGACCACAAGGATGATCTTACGATTAAGATCCTGGACTTGGACTCAAAACATCTGGGTTCAACTCCTGGCTGTTCCACAGACTCCTTGCCCCAGTTCCCCAGCTGTAAAACAATACTTGCTGTCTCCCACTCTTCACCAGTCTTGTCTATTTGGACTGTAATCTCTTCTAAGGCTCATACTGATTTTTGTTGTTAATTATCTATACGTAGGTCTATATGAAAAGTGCTCAGCGCAATGGGCTCCTAACCTTGATTAGGGGCCTCTGGGCACCCCTGTTATTTACATAAAAAAGGATCAGGTTTGATCTGTGCAGCAGAAGATATTTCAATGCACAATTACAGAGTGAATTACAATTATTTCTGATTCCCCATTATAGCGATGATGATTATACTGAAGAATGCCCAGTTTATGGCAACCTCAATCAGGAGATTTTAGGTAAGATATCTTATCCTAAGAACTTATTAAAATGAGCATACAATAATAGACACAGAATGCTTAACATCCTTTATGAAAGGTCTCCTAAAACATGAATTTCTGAAGCACTATCTGTTGATAAAATGGATAAGCACTTGTTCCAGTTACAGGGGAAAGAAGCAGCGAACCTCCAGTTGCTCATTTTAAAACCAAAATGTGTTAATTCCCATAATATTAACCTAGATCTTGGGATAGTGCTGTGACAGTGGATTGACTAGCACAAACTGAGTTTGATTTTTTACTCTCCAGACATTAAGATATGTGAATGAAGAGGGCTTTTTAAAAGTTCTCAAAAGCACATAAGGGCTAATCTACATGCAGAATTGCACCAATTTAACTAAAGGCGCAATGTTAAACCAGTACAAAAGGCTGCGTGGTCACTTATTTCAGGTTCAACTAGGCTTATTTTGGTTTGCCTTAGAGAGATTAGCAACAGGTTTAAACTAAACTCAAAAGATGACAGTGTTCACAAGGGAGTTTGCACCAGTCTAACTAGAACCAGTGCAAATTTGTGTTCACACCCTCCCCCTCAAAACGCCTCTATGAGGGAAGGAGATGTCCATTTTACCAGGGCATAAAATGGAGGCATGAAGAGAAAAGGTAACTTGGCCCAAGTTTGTTGTACCAATAAAATAAAAACCAGCAGGATCTTATTAAAGGGGGAAAAGGCAAAATGCCACATTTATTGTGAATACAGAAAGAATCATAGTAAGCAGTTATAGCTATAACATTCCATTCAATTTCATATTTATTCACACATTCATTCATACACACAGGTTCTGCAAGGTTGTTATCATGGTTACCAGCCTTAGAGTTGCTCATGCCAAGCCACTGGCCAGGTGGCCTGGACATGAGGAGGGAGCAGGACCTTGTCAGACGCTCATCTGATGCTCCTGGAAGTTGGTTTGCAGAATCAGACCCCAAAGTTCTCACTTTCTAGAGTCCATTTTTATAGGAATTTCTTCCTGTGCCAGTCTATGGGAATTGCTTCATCATGCTGTTGCTGAATCAATCAGCAGACAGCACATTCCTGACGGCTCCGTGCTGCCAGATGTTATCTTGTTCTTTGGTTCTCCCATTCTTGAGGCTGTTGGGTGGATTCCAGTCTGCCATCTGGGGGTCCTCTGGTTATTTCCACTTGACGCCTTCTTCAGCCGATGGACACTGGATTCTTAGGCTGGCACCTCCCTGATCATTCAGTTATTATCCACACACATCCTCCATCTCTATTTTAATCACAATTGTTAACAAAGTGAGATGAATACAGGAAAAGGGTGGAGAGTCTCTGGGTGCTGTTTCTGTTGTTACAGAGTATTGCTTTGAGTCTCTCTGTGTGAGTAGTTGTTGTTACAAAGAATTGCTTTGAGAACAGACTCTGTCATAGAATGTACTAACACAATTAGCAGCTTGCAAGTTTCACACAGAGGGAGAGAAATGGTACCAAAATCCAAGAGACCTCTTAATTAGTAATACCCTGGAATTTAAACTATGGGGAATCAAACTCATTTGTGATTTTAATACAGAAGTTCTTTAGTATGATCCAACAAGTTCATAGAAAGTTAGTGGCAAAGCAAGGAATAGAACCTTATCATTTTGCCCTGCCCCGCCATTACTCTAACCCTGACTCCGGGTATTTCTCTTACCCATATACTGTCCCTTCTCAGCTATATTTAGCTTGTAAGACCTGTCAAATCACATGGCGACTGACACTATCAAGTCTGTCAATGTTTTAAGTTGCCCCATAATTGTAAGACTTTTGCTGGACAACCTAATACACTGTCCAATAATATGATACTGTGAAAATAAAAAGCTAGGAAATCCCTGGGTAGAGTTTATTTCCTAGCAGCTTGGAGAGTGAGGGAGGGAATATAGTTTAGAACCTGAACTTCCACTAATGTAGGTATGGAGAATTGAGTTCTATAACAGGGTGTCTGTTCACTCTTTAATCACAGGCAGAATCTTCTAACCACTATTAAATATTTTCATTTCTAATAATCTAGATGAATGTTGCTATGAACAAATGAAGGCCCAGCCTCGGAGACGCGCTAATGAAGTAAAGGTATCCTTATTTATATTCTTGCTCTTAGCCTTCTGCATTAAGGAAGGCACTTTGCCTCAAAGCTCCTCACATGTATCCAATGGCAGAATATACCCCAAGAATTCAGTCTTCTTCTTACAAAAATGGACATACCAATTCAGCAGAGCACTTAAGCATGTATGTAGGTGTTTTGCTCCATCAGGGCCTTAATTGAGGAAGTCTGAGGATTGCAAGCAGCTAAGTACCAGCCAGATGTGTCAATTGTGTCAAACTTGTCAATTCAGCCATTAGTCAGATGAAAGATTACATGTTGAAGGCATTTTACTATTTTGATTACCAATGTTTTATAATGTGTTCAGCCCTGTAGTATTGGTATACTACAATAAAAACTAGAAAACCAGAATTTTTGGTTAAGTGGAAGAGATATTATCCACTATTGTAAATTAAGCAATGGCCTGAAATTAAAAATGTTGCTATCAATTGCTAATGAGAAGTTGCAAGCTGAAAAACCTAGTAATCATGAATTCATTAGGGATATAGTTCTATATTTGATTATCTCCAACATGCCCAGTACAAGGTAAGTACCCAAAAAACGTAAGGCCCAGAGTCAATACCACACCCTGTGGCCAAGACCATATATCCTCCCTACCCCCCGGGGCAAAACCAGTGTAGGTTTTCACACACCCTGCAAAAAACCTGGCATCTGAGTTAACTCTTTACTAAATACCAGGATAGGAGAAGAAGAAATGGGGTTGGGAAACCATCTAGTGATGCCTCTGAGCCCAAAAATTTGGGGTTGCCTTATACCAGTAGCTCCCAAAGTGGGGTTCCCACACCCCTCAGTTATGCAGGGGTCTGTCCCTTGAGCGTTCTGCCACTTTTGCCGCACGGAGAACAGGGCTGGCTCTAGGTTTTTTGCCACCCCAAACAAAACATTTGCTGCCCCAAGCTCCAAGAGTGCAACTGCCCAAGCAAAAAAAAAAAAGGGGGGTCCGGAATGCTGCCCCTGGAATTGTGCCGCCCCACGCACGTGCTTGCTTTGCTGGTGCCTAGAGCTGGTCCTGACGGAGAACAAAATGGCATCCTCTGCACAGCAGGACCTTGCGTATGCTGTGAGTGAGGTCAAATTGGCAGATATGTTCCAATAGTACCAGAAATGAAAGGAGTCCAGGACATATAGTCAGATGCCAAAGGGGTCCTTGACAGAAAGGACCCCTTGAGAACCAGACTTATACAGTACATCCCTCACCCTTCAAAACCGAAATGTCTCACAAGAACACTATGCTGAAGGTTCCAGACTGGTGGGTTGTCTTAAGAAGCTGAAAGTCTTAAAAGGTGTAGTGATTAAGGAAAGGATTAAACTGAACAAAAATGATTTTCCTCTCAGGTGGAGGTTGAAACTCAGATGTGCTATGCCTCCCTCGATCACAGCATCAAGGAAAAAAACAGGAAGCCTAGGAAAAAGAAAGCTCCTCCATTAGAAGTGAATGAAGAAGAGATGCCATCTAAAAACAGCACCCTGGCTTCCCAAACTAGCATTTATCTCAACAGTGACCAGCTGGCAGCTGAAAATAAACCAACAGAGGAAGCCATTCATGACGACCCTATCAGGCTGTTTGGCTTGATTCATGCAACATAGGACAAAACATCTACAGAGGACCCCTGACTCAACTGACAGATCACACAAGATGAAGTAGATCTTTCACTTGTTTATGTTGTGGGAAAAAGACTGAACAAATAGTATCCTGAATTTGGAAGAATAGCTTGGTAAATGAAACCAATGGTATAAATGGGTAAGTGATTCATTCAAATTGTCTGCTGGGCATAACTGCCAACTAATTTAGGTCAGCAGGTAGCAGGATTTTAGACACAGAATGCTAATTTTTAAAGCAACCCAAAGAGCTGGCCACCTTCATAGTTATCTATTTTGTAAAGCAGTTACAGGAGCCAAGGACCTCTCAGAATTTGGCCCCAAATTAGCAATTATCCTGTATGCTTTATAGCAGGACTTACTTCTTCATTTCAGTTGCCCATGGATCCCACCTCAAGGGATCTAAAAATGGGCCACATGATCCTCTGTAGAAAGCTAGCATATTTTGCCTGTTATTCTATGTTGTTTCAAGAGTAGTTTGGGAAATCAAAGGCACTTTAAGACTGGCATATTTAATAGTTAAAACTTGTCCCGCTATTCAATATTTAATACTGTCCTACTGTGACCTACAGTAATATTTAAGGTTAATTAGAAAATAATATAACCGCTTCAGTTCATTTAATTAGTGCTTTGTATACCCAGCAAACGTAATGCTATTCGAATATACTCTTAGCTTTCTATGGCGAACAGTACCAGAATCTCAAATCTCTACTTCTGTACCAGTAACATTTTCTCGGTCTAGTCAACAATCTGTAAAAGAAAGTGGCAAATGATCTGTGAAAATAAGGCTCCTGAGGAGGACAAAATGATTTCTACTGGGTTTCACATTGTCACTTTAAAAACTATTTTAGGAAGATAGGAAAAGTCTTTTTACTCCCCAAACAATTCAGTAACTGTATGCATAGGTCATACTTAAAAATGTACAGCACAATTTTATCTTGAAAGCTCTTTGGGGGGCAAAGACTAATTTTATGTATGGCACATTTTGGGTGCTACGTGAATAGGAATAGTAGCAAACACCAACACACCACTGCTATAATGCTGCCGCATCTGGGTGCCAGGGCAAAGGGGTAGATTTTTCCCATATGAAAAGCATAAAGAAAAACAGAAAGAACTTGATTGCTCAAGGTCCTATTTAAAAGCAACACACAAATTGACGTGCTCTCCTAGAAACTATTTCATTCTAAGTGAGATGTAGACAACTAATGTTGCAGAGGCAGAAATAATGCTAGTAGGAAATCAACAGAAAATACATGAGGCATTATAAAAAAACAATTCCCCAGACTAATACCTCCCTGCCCCCTAAACCTGAAGCTAAACACAAGGACATCAGAACAAGAAATGCTATCTTAATCTGGTTGCCCTAATTACCATAGTTGAGTGAGACTGAAACAAAGTAAAAAGACTTAGCTGCATATCAACAAGCTCTTGGCTCCATGAGCCAAAAAAGTTTTGAACAGCATCTCTGTTAATGGTGAGATGTAAAATAAGTATTTCAACTAAGCTGACACACCAAACAGATCTAGTACCAAGCCCCTTCAAGGTGATTAAAAATAAGGCTTATCTAACTAATTAGGCAAGCAAACAGCCCCCAGGACAAGCATTCATGTTGTCACATGTTTGTGTTATACAGAGAATCAAAATAAGGAATATAGTATTCTCAGTTAATACAATTTATGAAGACTTTTATCTAAATAAAGATTGGCTAAGGTCCATTACTTCCTATATGTCTCTCACTTTTTCAAAGGGCACTCCTACCCCACAGTACCCACTTGCTGGCTAGATAGCTCTGCTGAGGCCTGCCTTAGTTTCCCTTTAACTCAGTCTCCCTTAAAAAGTCCACACAGGCCAGATATTCAGAACATTCCCCCCTCCTGGGGTCCAGTTTATTAAGACCTGCAGAAAGTCTTTCAAAAGAAAACTCAGACTTACAATCTCTTCATCCCAGTTTCCTCTAGGACCAGTCCCTCCTCCCTGAGGCTCTGTCTTCCCTACAGACTTCCAGTACTGTTCACCTCCAGTTCCAAACTAAGCACAGCCAGCCTTCCTGGAGGCCTGAGGTATAGCCTTTTCCATTACTACCTTCCTCCTCCTGATTCACAGCCCAGCCAGGGCCTTCTTATGCCTTACAGCACCTGTGAGTAACTGCTAACAACCTGCAGCTGTCTAGCCCTTTGTAAGGCCCAGGTGCCTTCTCTGAAGCACAACTAGGCAGCAGGTAATCAGTCCAGGTGCACTGGACCTCACACTCCCTCTCAAAGGGGCCAGTGACATTGTAATACACTGTTTGTACTCTGTGCATGGTCTGTATCTTTGGCTTCCCTGCCTCACACTGAAAATCCCACGTCTCTGATAATCAAGGTTCAGAGAACTTTACCAAAGCCCCAATTCCACAAAGCACTTATGCTTAAGGCCCATTCAAGTCAGTGGGATTTAAGCACTTGCTTCACTTAAGGGCATGTACTTAAAGTCGTTTACTGAGTTGGTGCCCAAGTCAGTACACTTGGTTCCCTCTGTGGCATTGTCAGTCTTCACTGATTTCAGTCAAGCTATGACAATTTACACCAACATAGGGCGTACAATATTCCTTATACTTGTCCCTTGGTGGTTTGTTGGGAGAAGTGAAGATGGAAGTTATCAGCAGTTCTCTCCCACACTCAGCTTTCCCTCCCTGGCTGATCACTGCAATGGTTAAGAACATAAGAATGGCCACACTGGGTCAGACCAAAGGTTCATCCAAACCAGTATCCTGTCTACCGATGGTGGCCAATGCCAGGTGCCCCAGAGGGAGTGAACCTAACAGGTAAGGATCAAGTGATCTCTCTCCTGCCATCCATCTCCACCCTCTGACAAACAGAGGCTAGGGACACCATTCCTTACCCATCCTGGCTAATAGCCATTAATGGACATAACCTCCATGAATTTATCCAGTTCTCTTTTAAACCCTGTTATAGTCCTAGACTTCACAGACAAGGAGTTCCACAGGTTGACTGTGTGCTGAGTGAAGAACTTCCTTTTATCTGTTTTAAACGTGCTACCCATTAATTTCATTTGGTGGCCCCTAGTTCTTATATTATGGGAACAAGTAAATAACTTTTCCCTATTCACTTTCTCCACATCACTCATAATTTTATATACCTCTCTCATATCCCCCCTTAGACTCCTCTTTTCCAAGCTGAAAAGTCCTAGCCTCTTTAATCTCTCCTCATATGGGACCCATTCCAAACCCCTAATCATTTTAGTGGCCCATTTTAGTTACATTATCTACCGCTGTCACCACAGCCTCCATTTTAGGATAAATAACCATAATGTTCATGTCAGTTATATATTGAGACACTTCTACTGTTGCTCTGTGAGATAGAGGTTTTTTCCTCCCCAGACTGCAGATATCTATATAATGAAGCAATTCTCTGGCTCTTTGGTCTCAGGTTCACTTTTTAACCTGGACTAAGCCTGTTGCATTGAGGCACTACATCCCTGAAAGCCATAACCTGTCCCAGCAATAGCCTTTATTTATTTTTTTTTTTTTTTGCCATAATGGCTTTTAGGGGGTTGCTAAATGTCTCTTAAAAACAAGTTGTCTGACAGCGAACATTCTTCCCTGCTCTTTAGGCAACATATCACCTAGTGGACCTGATGTAATTTTTGGTGTTATTGATTAAATGTTATATAAGTACAATGACATAAAGTGAATTTATTAGGATGACGTTAAGAATAAACATCTGCATTATTTAAATATTTTACTATGTTAATGACAATTTTTTTTAAAATGATACAGTACAGTCTGAAACCACCTTCATCATATCAAAAGCATTTTTGATATTTATTCACTACTTTACATTAGAATAAAGTCAAAAGAAAAAGAAACAAAGAGGAAAAAGAACAAAGCCATAGTGAACAGGGGAAAGATGACAAAGGGCTTGGCTACCCTTGCAAGTCAGAGCGCATTAAAGCAGCATCGGGCACCCCAGCTCACCACCCGTCCACACTGGCAAGGCACATAGAACGCTCTGACTTCACGGCTAGAGCACAGCTGGTACTCCACCTCGGCAAGAAGACTAACGCTTGTTGCGTAGTGGCTGAAACGCCCGAGCATCAGCGTGAATGAGGTGTTGCATTACTGCGCTCCGATCAGCCTCCGGAAACGTCCCATAATCCCCTTGAGTCAAGTGGCCACTCTTCTCTTTGTTTTGAACTTGCCCAGGAATGCGGATATGCCCTTTGAAAGCTCTGTTTCTTACAGCCGCTCCAAGACAAAGCAAGCTGTTACTGTGGAATGCTGTGTGAGAGAGAGGGGCGGGGGGGGGGAAGAGGGGGTCTGTTGCTGTCTGAACTTACAAGACAACACGCTGACATGCTCTCAGCCCCTCCAAAACCCACTCTCTCCCCCCACATACACACAACACACTTCCTGTCACACTCCATCCCACCCCTGCATTTGAAAAGCACGTTGCAGTCAATTGCATGCTGGGATAGCTGCCCATAATGCATCGCTCCTAATACTGCTGCAAGTGCTGCAAACGTGGCCACGCCAGTGCGCTTAAAATTGTCAGTATGGACAGACTGCGGCGCTTTCCCTACTGCTGGTTTAACTCAAAGCGCTCTACAGCTGCAAGTGTAGCCAGACCCTCAGACAAGACCTGGTAGACCAGACAGAAAAGGTAACATGTAGAACCAAGATGATGTCATACACATCACATCAGTCTATACGTTTTTCAACAGTGTCAGCTGGCACATCAATTGAGTTCCCTGGATACATCACCATTTCTTAGGGTATGTCTACACTACGAAATAAGGTCGAATTTATAGAAGTCGGTTTTTTAGAAATCGGTTTTATATATTCGAGTGTGTGTGTCCCCACAGAAAACGCTCTAAGTGCATTAAGTGCATTAACTCGGCGGAGTGCTTCCACAGTACCGAGGCAAGCGTCAGAGCGTTGCACTGTGGGTAGCTATCCCACAGTTCTCGCAGTCTCTGCTGCCCATTGGAATTCTGGGTTGAGATCCCAATGCCTGATGGGGCTAAAACATTGTCGCGGGTGGTTCTGGGTACATATCGTCAGGCCCCCGTTCCCTCGCTCCCTCCGTGAAAGCAAGGGCAGACAATCGTTTCACGCCTTTTTTCCTGAGTTACCTGTGCAGACGCCATACCACGGCAAGCATGGAGCCCGCTCAGCTCACTGTCACCGTATGTCTCCTGGGTGCTGGCAGACGCGGTACTGCATTGCTACACAGCAGCAGCAACCCATTGCCTTGTGGCAGCAGACAGTGCAATAGGACTGGTAGCCGTCATCGTCATGTCCGAGGTGCTCCTGGTCGCCTGTGTGAGGTCGATCTGGAGCGCCTGGACAGACATGGGCTCAGGGACTAAATTTGGAGTGACTTGATCAAGTCATTCTCTTTAGTCCTGCAGTCAGTCCTATTGAACCGTCTTATGGTGAACAGGCAGGCGATACGGATTGCTAGCAGTCGTACTGTACCATCTTCTGCCGGGCAGGTAAGAGATGAGGATGGATAGCAATCATATTGCACCATCTTCTGCCGGGCAGGCAAGAGATGAGGATGGCTAGCAGTCGTATTGCACCATCTTCTGCTGAGCAGCCATGAGATGTGGATGGCTTGCAGTCCTTCTGCACCGTCTGCTGCCAGCCAAAGATGTAAAAGATAGATGGAGTGGATCAAAACAAGAAATAGACCAGATTTGTTTTGTACTCATTTGCTTCCCCCCCTCCCCTGTCTAGGGGACTCATTCCTCTAGGTCACACTGCAGTCACTCACAGAGAAGGTGCAGCGAGGTAAATCTAGCCATGTATCAATCAGAGGCCAGACTAACCTCCTTGTTCCAATAAGAACAATAACTTAGGTGCACCATTTCTTATTGGAACCCTCCGTGAAGTCCTGCCTGAAATACTCCTTGATGTAAAGCCACCCCCTTTGTTGATTTTAGCTCCCTGAAGCCAACCCTGTAAGCCCTGTCGTCAGTCGCTCCTCCCTCCGTCAGAGCAACGGCAGACAATCGTTCCGCGCCTTTTTTCTGTGCGGACGCCATACCAAGGCAAGCATGGAGGCCGCTCAGCTCACTTTGGCAATTAGGAGCACATTAAACACCACATGCATTATCCAGCAGTATATGCAGCACCAGAACCTGGCAAAGCGATACTGGGCGAGGAGGCGACATCAGCGCGGTCACGTGAGTGATCAGGACCTGGACACAGATTTCTCTGAAAGCATGGGCCCTGCCAATGCATGCATCATGGTGCTAATGGGGCAGGTTCATGCTGTGGAACGCCGATTCTGGGCTCGGGAAACAAGCACAGACTGGTGGGACTGCATAGTGTTGCAGGTCTGGGACGATTCCCAGTGACTGCGAAACTTTTGCATGCGTAAGGGCACTTTCATGGAACTTTGTGACTTGCTTTCCCCTGCCCTGAAGCGCATGAATACCAAGATGAGAGCAGCCCTCACAGTTGAGAAGCAAGTGGCGATAGCCCTGTGGAATCTTGCAACGCCAGACAGCTACCAGTCAGTTGGGAATCAATTTGGAGTGGGCAAATCTGTTGGGGCTGCTGTGATACACGTAGCCCACGCAATCAAAGATCTGCTGATATCAAGGGTAGTGACCCTGGGAAATGTGCAGGTCATAGTGGATGGCTTTGCTGCAATGGGATTCCCTAACTGTGGTGGGGCCATAGACGGAACCCATATCCCTATCTTGGCACTGGAGCACCAAGCTGGCGAGTATGTAAACTGCAAGGAGTACTTTTCAATAGTGCTGCAAGCTCTGGTGGATCACAAGGGACGTTTCACCAACATCAACATGGGATGGCCGGGAAAGGTACATGATGCTCGCATCTTCAGGAACTCTGGTCTGTTTCAAAAGCTGCAGGAAGGGACTTTATTGCCAGACCAGAATATAACTGTTGGGGACGTTGAAATGCCTATATGTATCCTTGGGGACCTAGCCTACCCCTTAATGCCCTGGCTCATGAAGCCGTACACAGGCAGCCTGGACATTAGTCAGGAGCTGTTCAACTACAGGCTGAGCAAGTGCAGAATGGTGGTAGAATGTGCATTTGGATGTTTAAAGGCGCGCTGGCGCAGTTTACTGACTCTCTTAGACCTCAGTGAAACCAATATTCCCACTGTTATTACTGCTTGCTGTGTGCTCCACAATATCTGTGAGAGTAAGGGGGAGACGTTTATGGCGGGGTGGGAGGTTGAGGCAAATTGCTTGGCTGCTGGTTACGCACAGCAAGACACCAGGGTGGTTAGAAGAGCACAGGAGAAACGGTACGCATCAGAGAAGCTTTGAAAACCAGTTTCATGACTGGCCAGGCTACGGTGTGAAAGTTCTGTTTGTTTCTCCTTGATGAAACCCCCCGCCCCTTGGTTCACTCTACTTCCCTGTAAGCTAACCACCTGCCCCTCCTCCCTTCAATCACCGCTTGCAGAGGCAATAAAGTCATTGTTGCTTCCCATTCATGCATTCTTTATTCATTCATCACACAAATAGGGGGATGACTACCAAGGTAGCCCAGGAGGGGTGGTGGAGGAGGGAAGGAAAATGCCACACAGCACTTTAAAAGTTTACAACTTTAAAATTTATTGAATGACAGCCTTCTTTTTTTTGGGCAATCCTCTGTGGTGGAGTGGCTGGTTGGCTGGTGGCCCCCCCCCCACGTTCTTGGGCGTCTGGGTGTGGAGGCTATGGAAATTGGGGAGGAGGGCGGTTGGTTACACAGGGGCTGTAGTGGCAGTCTGTGCTCCAGCTGCCCTTGCTGCAGCTCAACCATACACTGGAGCATACTGGTTTGGTCCTCCAGCAGCCTCAGCATTGAATCCTGCCTCCTCTCATCACGCTGCCGCCACATTTGAGCTTCAGCCCTGTCTTCAGCCCACCACTTACTCTCTTCAGCCTGCCACCTCTCCTCCCGGTCATTTTGTGCTTTCCTGCACTCTGACATTATTTGCCTCCATGCATTCGTCTGTGCTCTGTCAGTGCGGGAGGACAGCATGAGCTCGGAGAACGTTTCATCTTGAGTGCGTTTTTTTTTTCTTTCTAATCTTCACTAGCCTCTGGGAAGGAGAAGATCCTGTGATCATTGAAACACATGCAGCTGGTGGAGAAAAAAAAAGGGACAGCGGTATTTAAAAAGACACATTTTATAAAACAGTGGCTACCCTCTTTCAGGGTAAACCTTGCTGTTAACATTACATACATAGCACATGTGCTTTCGTTACAAGGTCGCATTTTGCCTCCCCCCACCGCGTGGCTACCCCCTCAACCCTTCCCGTGGCTAACAGCGGGGAACATTTCTGTTCAGCCGCAGGCAAACAGCTCAGAAGGAACGGGCTCCTCTGACTGTCCCCTGAAGAAAAGCACCCTATTTCAACCAGGAGACCATGAATGATACATCACTCTCCTGAGGATAACACAGAGAGATAAAGAACGGATGTTGTTTGAACGCCAGCAAACATACACTGCAATGCTTTGTTGTACAATGATTCCCAAGTACATGTTACTGGCCTGGAGTGGTAAAGTGTCCTACCATGAAGGATGCAATAAGGCTGCCCTCCCCAGAAACCTTTTGCAAAGGCTTTGGGAGTACATCCAGGAGAGCCGCGAATGCCAGGGCAAAGTAATCCTTTCACATGCTTGCTTTTAAACCATGTATAGTATTTTAAAAGGTACACTCACCGGAGGTCCCTTCTGCGCCTGCCGGGTCCAAGAGGCAGCCTTG